TTTTTGTACTTTAACAAACGTTTTGGGGGCGCCTGGCTGGCTCAGGCAGTCGGGCATGTGACTCTTGATCTCAGGGTCATCAGCTGGAGCCCCACGTAGGGTGTAGAGATTTTTTTAAAGTTTTTATTATGGGAAATTTCAAACATAAAAATAGAATAATATATAAGCCCCCCGCCGACCACTCTGCTTCATCAGCTAACACCTGTGGGTCCCCCTCTCATTTCGTCTGGACTCCCATCGTTGTGCCCCCTTCCTGTAAGATTTTGAAGGAAATCCTGGGCTATGCAGTATTTCATCCACAGCGAGTTCAGTGCTTCTCGAGAACGCAAGGAGTCTTTAAAAACAGAACTTGCATGCCATCGCTGTTCCTGAGACATCGGACCAGTAACATGAAAGGGGTTTAAGCAGGGCGCTCTCTCGGCACCTCTGGCTGTGGGTGTCCATCTGTTTCTGGGCTCTCTCTGTCCGTCTCTCTCGTCCCCCTTCTCTTCCTCTCTGCGCTCAGCGGGTTGGTCTCTCGGCTCCGTCTCTGCATCTGTGTCTGAATCCTTGTGTATCAGACGCTGTGTTGGCATCTCTCGATGTGTCTCGCGGCTTCCCCGAGGTGGTCTCTGAGCTCAGGGACCCACCCACCTGTCCCCGCAGCTCTTTGAGGGCATGAAGGCGTTCAAAGGCAGCGACCAGCACGTGCGCCTCTTCCGACCCTGGCTCAACATGGACCGGATGCTGCGCTCAGCCCTGCGCCTCTGCCTGCCGGTGAGGGGCCCTGGCTGGCCCCGGGGGGAGCAGGGTGCGGCGTGGGGCGAGGGCAGCAGGGAGGTGGGCGGCTGACTCGTGGGAATCCTGCCCAGAGTTTTGACAAGGTCGAGTTGCTCGAGTGTATCCGCCGGCTGGTGGAAGTGGACAAGGACTGGGTCCCTGAGGGCAAAAACAGCAGCCTCTACGTCCGGCCTGTGCTCATCGGGAATGAGGTGGGCCTGACTCCCTGACTCGGGGGCGGGCTGGAGGTCAGGGGCTCCAGGGGCGAGGGAGGGGGAGGGGCTGGGGTCCTGGACTCCTGGGTCCCTGATGCCCCCTTCTGCCCACCGCAGCCCTCACTAGGCGTCTCCCGTTCCTCGCAAGCGCTCCTGTTTGTCATTCTCTGCCCCGTGGGTGCATACTTCCCCGGAGATGCTGTGGACCCCGTCTCCCTCCTGGCCGACCCAGCCTTCATCCGGGCCTGGATGGGCGGGGTCGGTGACTACAAGCTGGGGGGGTAAGTAGTCTCTCCGGCAGTCCCTCCCCCAACCCTACATGTCCGGGACGCTGGATGTCCGAGACACTGGCTATCTGCTTTGGGTGTGAATTTGTGTCTTCGGATGTCAGTTGTCCTTCCCGACTTGTTTCACATGACTGGGGACAGTTCTGCTTGCCCGTGGGGATGGGATGTTGTGCTAACATTGGGGGCGGGGTGCTTAAGGGGAGAGGGTCTGTGCTGAGCGCTGTGGACACATCGGCTCAGAATTTGGAAGGGATAAGGTGAAAGTCAGTGGAGAAACCCGGATTGGCCCCCTGGGAAGCCTCCAGAAATGAAGTTTATCCTTAGCTCATTGGTCTCTCCCCCAGGTAGCCTCCCCTGAACGCCCAGGCTTGGCCAGCGCCCCCACTCCCCACCCCCATGCGCAGCTCTCATAGTCCCCTGGGCCTCCAGGGATCACCATGCTCTGTGTGGGCTTCCTGTGTTAATCTGTTGCTAGGGTCCTCGGCTCAGCAGGGCAGGGAGGGTCCCCCCACCCCCCGAGGTGATCCAAGCAGAAGGTGGGGTGACGGTGTGTTGGGATAGCAAGCGTGACCCCAGCTGAGAGCTTCATTCGGGTCCCTTCCACACACCTATCTTGTGAGGTCTCCCGAGGGCCAGGCCCTGGGCCGGGTGAAGCTGGGGATGCAGAAGAATCAGGTCCGGGCCCTGCCTTCCAGGGGCCCCCCGGGCTAGTGGAAGCCCCGGGATCCAGAGCAGCCGGCACTGTGATGGCAATGGCTGGGGCATTGTTCACGGAGGAGGCAGTGAGCCCTCGGGCGAGTCTGAGGAAGGAGCCGGTTTCCTGGTCAACCATGCTTCTCTCTCTACCAGGAATTACGGGCCCACGGTGTTGGTGCAGCAGGAGGCGAAAAAGAGGGGCTGTGAGCAGGTGCTCTGGCTCTATGGGCCTGACCAGCAGCTCACCGAGGTGGGCACCATGAACATCTTCATCTACTGGACCCACGAGGACGGGGGTGAGCCCTCCCATGACACCCCCCCACCCCCACCCCCTGGGGAAGCGGATCTATCCTAAGTCCTAGCCAACTGCAGGCTTCACGGATGCGGGTGGGTGGGTTGGGGTGGCTTCCTAAGAAGCTGGGAGGGTGTGCCTGAGGGCGTGAGGTAACCCCCCAGCCCTTATACTTGCCCCAGTGCTGGAACTAGTGACCCCCTCACTGGACGGTGTCATCCTGCCTGGAGTGGTCAGACAGAGCCTGCTGGACCTGGCCCGGACCTGGGTGAGGGCGCCGTGACCGTGGGTGGCTGGAGTGATGGGGTATTGCTGTGTTGGGGGGGCCAGAACCTCAGGGGGCTCTGGGGGGGGGGCTGGGGCACAGTAGCACGTCTCTGCCCCTTCTCTCTGGGTGCCTGTCTCCTCGGGTGTCCTTGTCCCCATCCTCAGGGAGGGAGAGGCAGGGCTGTGCGGCGAGGGCCGCCCGGGCTCACACGTGTGTGGCTCGGCAGGGTGAGTTCCGGGTAGCGGAGCGGAAGATCACCATGGAGGAGCTGTTGCGGGCGCTGCAGGAGGGGCGGGTCCGGGAAGTCTTCGGCTCAGGCACTGCTTGCCAGGTCTGCCCTGTGCACCAAATCCTGTACCAAGGCAAGGTGAGGTGGGGCTGCCATTGGAGACGGGAGGGAAGAAGGGGCTTCCTGGTCCTCACGGCACAGTCTTCTCCAGCACTTGCACATTCCCACCATGGAAAACGGGCCTGAGCTTATCCTCCGCTTCCTGAAGGAGCTGAAGGCGATCCAGGTGAGGTGCACTGGCCGGGAAGTGGGCTGGATGTTTGCTCCCCGGGGAAGTTCACGTCCCAGGAGCCCCTGGACTGGGAGCCCTCCTGCCCCCGCAGCCCCAAGAGCCAATCATGGCCCTTGCCGGGGGCCTCTGGGCCCCGGACCGAGTGACTGTCCTTTCCTGGGAGCCTCTAAACGCTGACTTGTGGAATCCCCTTCCCTCCCCCTCGGTGGCTCCTGCGTGTCCTTGCAGTGGGGACCCCTTCCCAGGGGCCCGTGGGACTTGGGGCCAGAAGCCCCGCGCAGAGCCCCTGGAGCCCCGGGCTTTCCCTTTGGCCTGAGAAATCTTCCACAAGCCCCGGGATCCTGGTCCCCCAGTGTGGCCCAGGAGTATTTCCTCTCATAAGCTCCTGGAGGTGTTTCCATTAATCTCGGCCGAGTTCTCTTTCCTGAGAACCTCTGGGCTCCTTTCCCGGCACTCGACCTAGAACTGCCTTTCCTGGGAGCTTCTCGGAAGTCCAGTGTTGTGCACCGGGACCTAGAACAACACCTCTCCCCACTCTCTGGGCCATCTCAGCCAAAAACGATCCCCCCACCCACCCACCCCCGCCCCACGACCACCAGAATGTTCTTCCAGTGACTCTTCGCAGAACTCCATCTCCCTTCAACCTCTACGCCCACTCGGCCACGGTTCCCCTTCCCTGCGGTTATTGGCCGGCTTCCGGGAAGTGGACTACATTTCCCATGAGGTCCTGGGGCGCAAATCCGCAACCAGTTAGCCTGCGGCGCCCCCGGGCTTGCTGGGAGTTGCAGTGTGGCTTTCCTCTCACACCTCGCCTCTGCTGTCCCGCAGTACGGAGCGGGACCTCACGAGTGGATGCTCCCGGTGTGACGCTAAAGACTCGGCCCTACCTCTCCTCGGACCCACCCACCCACGGCATCTAGTCCTCGCCGGACCCTCGCCTCCCTACCTTTGACTCACCTGAAGTGCAATATGAAATAAAAGGCCGGGGGTGGGGGGCTGCCGGGACGCCTGGGTCTCTGGCGCCCCCACGTGGTCTCTACACTCCCAAAGCCATAAGGGCCGGACCCAGGCGTCCGGGCCCCCAGCCCCGCCTCTCAGACCTTGGGGGATCTGGGCTCCCCGCTGCTCCGTGTTGTGGGGTCAAAGATACACGTTGGCCCCGACTCTGCATCTCTCCGTTCTCAGGCCGGATCTCCCCGTGCTGCTGTTGATTTTTTTTTTTTTTTTTTTTTTTTCCTCGCTGCAATTTTGAAATAAATGCCAAAGAACAAGCCATTAGCTGTCATCTCCAATGATCCAGCTCAGGGACTCTAGGGTCTTCTCCAGGAATCCCTGTCCTGGACCCTTTTCATTCTCAAAGACCCAGCACTCCGAGCCCCCAGTGACCTGGCGTTTTCTCTGACGTGGGAGATTTTTCCACCTCATTATACACTGAGTTTGGCCTCTTGCCCCCACCAACCCACGCCTCCTCTACTTCCCCATCTTTGGGACAGCCCCACTGTACATCCAGTCACTAAGCCAGATCCCTCGGTACTGTAACCCCTTTTCCCCCCAAAGCCCATCAGACTCAAGCCCTGTCCTCCTGTCCCCAGCTCTGCCCTGTCTGTCTCCTCTTTGTCCTCTCAGCCCTGCTTCAGCTCAGTTCTTGTCTTCTCCTGCCTGGACGCTTGCCCTGCCTAGCCCGCTCTCTGCATCCAGTCTGGCCCCCAAAGGGTCTTTGTACCCCCAGAGCTGCCTCTAATCACTCTCTTCCAAGGGCTTCCCAGCACCCATGGCCAATACTGCCGACAGTGGGCCCTGGTGGGTGGGGAGCAAGGCAAGATGCTCTACCCTTGGAGGGGGTGAACATCAGAAGTCTATAACACCTAGTCCCGGTTCCCTTCCTGTGTCATGCCTTGTGTCCCAATCTTGGACACAATCTTCCACACACATACTTTAATAGTTGTTATGTGTAGGTATGGAGAGAGCTGACATTAAGACCAGGCTGATGTAAGAAAATGTCGGGGTCCAGAGCTGACGACCAAGGAAGAATTCTTGAGACATCTTTGGTGCAAAAAGCTGATTTTTTTTTTTTTTTTTAAGAATTTTTAAAACTTTAATCCAGTTCAAATCAGTGGGCCAGGTTCACTCCAGCTCCTTCACTGCCAAACCTGGAGGCCGGGACTGCTTCGGTTTCTCTGCCTTCTCCTTGTCCGTGATGACCAGGGTGTAAACGTATCTGCTGCACCGAACTTTAAACTTCACGTTATCCTTATTTTTCTTGATCTTGATGGATTTGGCATCCTTTCGCCTGGCCGTGGGCAAAAAGTCCTTGATTTCCTCGATTTTTGAGGCATGGCTACGGGCGGCGCAGGGGAGCGCGAAGCCGGCACAGCCAGCGGCCAGAAAGGAGGATGGAAAAACTGATTTTATTACAGCCCAGGGACAGGACCTGTGGGCAGAAGGAGCCGCATGGGGGTCCTGAGGAGTGGCCCATTATATACTTTAAAGTTGGGAGGGGGTTGGGGATAGTGTTAAGTCTCTAAGGAATTTTCAGAAACAAGGTTTCCAGGACCTTGAGGGGGCTAGCTGTTGTTAGGAAAAGGTCATTTACTGCTGTCTAATAAAACCTCAGTCATGAGACCCTTCAGATGTGTATCAGTGGGTCACATGCTTGGGGGATGAGTGCCAACATACATCTCGGGGGAGGGGCAGGTAGAGATAAGGGAAGTTTCCAAAGACATTTTTATATGTTAAAGTAGACTCACAGGATCCTGGGGGGTCGGGATGGATAATGTTAAGCTAAGATTGCCTTTTGCCCTTAGCAAAGTGTTAACATCGAGGCAGCCGAGTCCCTAGAGGAATGTCACTCTTCCTGTTTCAAGGACTTGTCAATGGGCTGTAAGTGGTAAAGAAATTTAATTTTTCTTTTGCCTTTGCATCCCACATCACAGGCATATCCATTTGGTTCCAGGTCTGGATACAAATGTGCCTCCCTTATCTGCTTGGTGTGTGACCTTGGGCTTGTCACCTTATCTCTGACCCCCTTTCCTGGAGGGAGACCCATGTGGGACTAGGGCGGACACAGCCTGGGGCCTGTCCCGCAGTTATCAGCTGTGGGACACAATTCTGATTTGTTGATAACCATTGTCATACCCTCTCATTTCCTTTTGTCAATGATTGCTCAAGAGCGGGTCATGCACATAATGGGGAAATTTGCCTGGAGGCCTCTGGGAAAGCTTTCTTCCCTTGATAAAAGAAATCCTGAAAGAACCTTTTCTTCCCTCCCTTTGGCTGTGATCATCTGGAAGGGTGATGCTTGGAGTAGCTGTAGCCACTTCACACCCAAGAGGGCCATTGTCCACGTACTGACCGCCGAACACAGAGACCTCGGGTCCTCCAACCATTAAACCTGATTTCTAGGGGTGCCTGGGTGGCTCGGTCGGTTAAGCATCTGCCTTCAGCTCAGGTCATGATCCCGGGGTCCTGAGATGGAGCCCTGCATCAGGCTCCCTGCTCAGCAGAAAGTTTGCCTCTCCCTCTCCTCCCTGCTCATGCTGTCTTCTCTCTCTCAAATAAATAAATAAATCTTAAAATAAAAAAAGAAACGGAAATAAAGAAAACCCCATCAACCCAATAGAAAGAAGGAATGGAAAAATAATTCGCTGAATAGACTCCAAATGGCTCAAAGATTTCAGTGTAAAATATGAAACCTGAAAGAATGAGAAGCAAACATTGGAAAGTTCCTTTCTAACCTGGGTGTGGAGAAAGCCTTTAAACTGTGACTCATAGGGGCGCCTGGGTGGCTCAGTCGTTAAGTGTCTGCCTTCGGCTCAGGTCATGATCCCAGGGTCCTGGGATCGAGCCCCGCATCGGGCTCCCTGCTTGGCGGGAAGCCTGCTTCTCCCTCTCCCACTCCCCCTGCTTGTGTTCCCTCTCTTGCTGTGTCTCTCGCTGTCAAATAAATAAATAAAATCTTAAAAAAAAAATAAACTGTGACTCATAATCCTGAAGCCATAAAAAGAAAACACTGATGCATTTAAACGGGGGAATAGGATCAAACATTCTTTTTTCTTTTTTGTTTCTTTTTGAACAAATAGTCCTAAGGCCCTCGGGTGGAGTAGGCAAGGTCAGTTTAGGGGGGAACAATGGCCCAGAATGGGGTGTCATGACCTTGGTGGGGTGGGGGGAGCTCAGCACAGTGGGGAGCACCCAAGGGGTTTTTGCTAGCTGGGGGGCCAGCTGGTTTGGAAGCAGACGCCCAAGGTAGGTGCTTAGAGTTTGGGTGGGGACAGAGGAGGGGAGGGCTAACAGGGGAATTGATCAAAGAAGTCTATTTCTTTTTTAAGATTTTGCTTTTTTTAGGTAATCTCTACACCCAATGTGGGGCTCAAACCTACAACCCTGAGATCAACAGTCGCCGGACTGAGCCAGCCAGACACCCTGATCAAAGAAGTCTATTAAGGAAAATAGATGTTGATGTCTTGTGGGGCGAGGAGGGAAAAGGTCAAGAAAGAATTCTCCAGGGGCACCTGACTGGCTCAGCCGGTGGAGCATGGGACTCTTGATATTGGGGTTGTGAGTTCCAGCCCCGTGTTGGGTGCAGAGGTTACTTAAATAAAAACTGGGGGGGGGGAGCTAATAAATTAAAGTTGAAAAGAAAAGGGGCGCCTGAGTGGCTCAGTCGTTAAGCGTCTGCCTTCAGCTCAGTCATGATCCCAGGGTCCTGGGATCGAGCCCCGCATTGAGCCCCCTGCTCAGCGGGAAGCTTGCTTCTCCCTCTCCCACTCCCCCTGCTTGTGTTCCCTCTCTCGCTGTGTCTCTGTCAAATAAATAAAGAAAATCTTACAAAAAAAAAAAGAAGAAGAAGAAGAACCCAAAAGGCCTGGGTCTGGAGAGTTCTGGGCTGGTGAGGACATGGAGGTCTGGGAGAGAGCGGTGTACTTAGCGGGCACAGAGGCTCCCCACTTTTTCCCCAGACCTCACCCTATGTATCTCTTCATCGGGCTGTTGATTCACATTCTTTATCATATCCTTTCATAAACGGATAAACACAAGTAAGTGTTTCCCTGAACCACCCTAGCAAATTAAAAGCATCACAGAGGAGGTTGTTGGAAACTCCCATCTGTAGTGGGTGAGTCCAGACCACAGCCTAAGGTTTATGTAGACTGATGTCTGCAGTGGAGGGTGGAGGGCCGTCTGAGCACGTGGAGTCCTATGCTGCCTCTAGGCAGACAGTATCGGAATTGAGTTGGAATTCTTGGACACAAGCAGGGATTCATTGGTGTTGTGTGAGGGGGGAGAAGTCCCCCCCCCCACTGCCCTGGAATTTGGAAACACTTCTAAAAGAGTTGGTGTCAGCAGACTCCTCCTCACACTATATCCTTTTCTTCCTTTTTTTTTTTTAAGTTTAGAAATGTTTTTGCTTGGTTTTCTTAATGTTTTATTTATTTATTCATGAGAGTCAGAGAGAGAGAGGCAGAGGGAGAAGCAGGCTCCCCGCCTAGCAGGGAGCCCGGTGCCTAGCAGGGAGCCCGATGCGGGACTCGATCCCAGGACCCTGGGATCATGACCTGAGCCGAAGGCAGACGCTTAAAGACTGAGCCACCCAGGCACCCCAAAATAATACTTTATTTTTTTTAAAGATTTTATTTATTTATTTAACAGAGAGAGAGAGAGCACAAGCAGGGGGAGCAGCAGGCAGAGGGAGAGGGAGAAGCAGACTCTCCGCTGAGCAGGAACCCAATGCAGGATTCAATCCCAGGACCCTGGGATCATGACCTGAGCCAAAAGCAGATGCTTAACCGACTGAGTCAACCGGACGCCCCCCATTGGAATTTTTTATTCTACTTTCCGTGTCTCTTCTTCCATTTTCCATCCATTTGTCTCTGTCAGTAACCTACTGAGATCCACCTTCCAATCCATGGATTCTCCCTTTCGCTGTTTCTAATTTGCTGTTTGACTCTTCCCGTCAGCTTTTCGTTTCAATGACTATTTCATTTCCGTGTGTGTTTCATTCCCTCTAGAAGTTCTATTTGGTTCTTTTCCAAACCGGCCTGGTCTTTTAATAATGCCTTGGTTTTTCTCATTTCTCATCCTCTTTTTTTTTTTTTTAACGTCTAGGCATTTGAATGTGTTCATTTTGTAGTTGTCAGCATTCAAGACCTTTCGCTTTGCTAGAAAGATAAGCTGTGATTTCAAAATTGACCAAGGGCTTTCAGTTGCCCTGAAACAGACCAGGTTTCTGGGCCAGCTGAGGAAAACAGAAACCACTCCAGGTATTTCAAATACAGGGAGTTTATTAAAGGGAATTGGTTCTGCGAGCACTGGGAGGCGGGAGGAGCAACCCATGATCCCTGAGGTAGGAGACCGAGCTGTTATCAGAAGCAGTCAAACCCCTGGGACTGTAGGTACGAGAAGGAGTGGGGCTCTGCAGGGTAGGACTCGTCCCTCTGGAGGCGGGGAGGGTGGGGATGCCCCAGGCCGCTGTCTCTCTGGCTTCCAGGAGGAACCTCCGTCGGAGGGGGCTGGAAATCTTCCTGCCCGAGCCGCTCAGCTGGCTGGTGCAGGAAGTGACAAAAGTGACCAGATGCTGGAGCCAGTTCTGCCCATGGCTGCTGGCACCATTCGCACTGGAGGGGGGGGTCCTTTGCTCCTCCTCCTGCCTCCTAGTCTCCCGCCAGGGCCTCCCCACCAGCCTTCTTGGTTGTCAACAGGGGTCACAGAATTGGGGGGTGAGCTTTATGCTAGAGAGACAGCAGTGTGGCCTCACTAGAACTCGCAGAGGGAAGGGCTCACCCTGAATGCATAAGAAAGAGGAGATGCTCCAGTCTGGTCCCTTAACAGACAAGGGACCCAGAGCAAATAGCTGCTAAATCATCTCACCTCCCCGCCTATTAAAATAATAGCACTCTTAGGGGCGCCTGGGTGGCTCAGATGGTTAAGCGTCTGCCTTCGGCTCAGGTCATGGTCCCGGGGTCCTGGGATCGAGTCCGCATTGGGCTCCCTGCTAGGTGGGGAGCCTGCTTCTCCCTCTGCCTCTCTCTCTCTCTCTCTCATGAATAAATAAATAAAATCTAAAAAAAAAAATAATAGCACTCTTAGAACATGCTTTGTAGGCTGTGGCATGAAGACTTGCCACTCTGAGCGAACAGCTGTGGGAAATATATCAGGATCAGTAAAGTCAATTTCTTCTTCTTTTTTTAATGTTAAATCACTTTTATTACTTTTTTATTTTTATTTTTTTAAGATTTTATTTATTTGACACAGAGAGAGAGCACAAGCAGAGGGAGAAGAAGCAGGCTCCCCGCTGGGCAGAGACCGTGACATGAGGCTCGATCCCAGGAGCCTGAGATCATGACCTGAGTGGAAGGCAGGCATTTAACTGACTGAGCCACCCAGGCGCCCCTGTTAAATCACTTTTTAAAATTTATTTATTTATTTGAGAGAGTGGGGGGCATGCAGAGGGAGAGGGAGAGAGAGAATCTCAAGCAGACTCCCCGCTGAGCGCAGAGCCTGACTCCATCTCATGACCCTGAGATCATGACCTGAGACCCTGAGATCATGACCTGAGCTGAAATGAAGAGTCAGCCACTTAACTGATGGAGTCACCCAGGTGCCCCCCAAAATCAATTTCTTAATCCGGGTGATGGTGACAAAGTCTAACTGTCATGGAATTCGGGCGTGGTGGGAATTAACTTGGAAGGTAGCAGGGCTCATACCCTAGGATTGAATCTTCAACCCTCAAACTGTTAACTTCAGCTTGTGGATGATTGAAGCCTACGTATAAGGTAAGAAAAATCACAAGTAAGAAGTATCAGGACTGTGAAATCAAAATCTTGATCAGAATAGAGGTATTGAAGAAACATTTATATCCAGGACACTGGCACCTTTGTAAGCAGTTAAATGTAAAGAAATTGATTTGCTGATCACTGTACTCCTATCTGTCTGTCCTTGAGATATTCAAGGCATTTAGAAAAATCTCGTATATTTGACTTGCAAAAAATATGATCAAGCTTGTTATTACTGTCTTCTCTTCAAGGCACATCACTCATTTAAGGGAATCTGAGATACCAGGCTTGTGGAAGTTCATTGATTTATGTTTGGAAAAATCTAAAATTATGAAATGCATAAGCTTGCTATCTTTAGTTGTGGAAGTCGTCAGCTAATATTTAGAGGAAAGTGGATTGCTTAAAAATTCATTAATCATTACCAAAGAAACAAATAGTTGTGAATATTTGTGTCCATCCATAAAAGCTTTTCTGACATTAAAAGACCTCACCACAGTCTTCTCAACAAATGATGCTCATTTGTTGTGCATGTCCACACGCCAAAGAATGAAGTTGGATCCTTACCTAACACCACATGCAAAAATTAACTCAAATTAAATCAGCGACCTAAACGTAAAGACCCAAACTATAAAGCTCATAGAAGAAAACATGGCAGGGTGGGGTGGAGGGGGGCAGCGTCATGACGTTGGATTGGGCAATGATTTCCTGGATATTACAACAAAAACACAGGCAACAAGAGTAATAATAGAAGAATGAGACTGTATCCAAATTAAAAACCTTTGTGCATCAAAGGAGACAGTCAACAGAGTCAACCCACGGGATAAAAGAAAAATATTTGCAAATCATATATCTGATTAGGGATTTATGTGTATCTATACAGCTTTCTGTGATGTTCACTCACATTGATGAGTTTGCAAAATCAAACGCTAATCTCTTCCAGAAATACACTCACGGACACACCCAGACATAATGTCTTACCATCTCTCTGGGTATCCCTTCGTCGCGTCAAGCTGACCCATGCAATTAACCATGACTGGCAGTTCCTCAAAAGATTAAAAGTGGAGTTACTATATGATCCAGCAATACAATGCTGAGTGTATCCTCCAAAGACTGAAACCAGGGTTTTTGAAGAGATATTTGTACATATGTTTTCATCGCAGCCTTTTCCACAATGGCCAAAAGGTGAAAGCAGCCCAAATGCCCATCGATGGGTACATAGAAAACAAAAATGTGGTCTGTCCATACAGTGGAATACTATTTAACCATAAGGGATATATTGACACATTCTACAACACTTTGGATGAACTTTATGCTGGGTGAAGTAAGACATTCACACACACAAAAATACTCTATGATTCCACTGATGTATCTAAAGTGGTAAAATTCATAGAAACAGGAAGTAGACGGTGGTGGCCAGGGGCTGGAAGAAGGAGGGTATGGGGAGTTGTTTAATGGGTACAGAGGTTGAATTTTACAAGATGAAAAAGTTCTGGGGACTGGCTACTCAATAATGTGAATACGTTCAATACTGCTGAACTGTAGACTTAAAAATAGTTAAGAAAGTGCATATTTGATCATTAAAAAAATAGATTTCAAAAACCGTTTTTCTCTGAAAGCTTTACAATCTAAAGTTATTGCAGGGTTGGGGCGCCTGGCTGGCTCAGTTGGTGGAGCCTTCGACTGTTGATCACTGGGTTGTGAGTTTGAGCCCCGCGTTGGGTGTAGAGATGACTTAAAAATAAAATCTTTTAAAGAATAAAATAGGGGCGCCTGGGTGGCTCAGTCATTGGGCATCTGCCTTTGGCTCAGGTCATGATCCCAGGGTCCTGGGATCGAGCCCCACATCGGGCTCCCCGCTCCAAGGGAAGCCTGCTTCTTCCTCTCCCACTCCCCCTGCTTGTGTTCCCTCTCTCGCTGTGTCTCTCTCTGTCAAATAAATAAATACAATCTTTAAAAAAATAAAAATAAAAAATAAAATAAAATAAACTAATTGCAGGGTGGGATGGGGTGAGACAAGTCTGTTTAGTCCTGCTGTTCAATGTCCTTGCTTCCTTCCCTCCTTCTTTCCTTCCTTTTCTTCTTTTTCTTTTTTCCTTCTCCTCCTCCTCCTTCTTTTTCTTTCTTTCTTCTTCTTCTTCCTCTTCATCTTCGTCTTCTTCGTCTTCTGTGAAGGAGGAGATCTGGAAATTTCTGTCTTCTCTTAAGCTCATCTGTACGTTTAGAAGGATGTTTGGAAAGAGGCGAGATAACAGTGGGGTCGCAGCGGGGATTTTTTTTCTGCAGGGGTAGCTTTTACTTGATATAATTTTGAACTTACAGAAAAGTTTCAAGACTCGTGCAAAGAACTCCATAGATGTTTTCCAGGCTCCCCAGTTCTCGCTGTTCCCGCCCCGCTTTTGCTTTATCATCGGGTCACTATCTCTCTGTATTATTATATATTTACATTTCCAGAGGTATTTGAGAAAACACTGGAGGTACCACGCTCCTTTGTCCCTGAATACTGCAGTGTGTATTTGCTAAGAACAAGGACATTCTTTTTTTTTTTTTAATTTTATTTATTTATTTGAGAGAGAGAGAATGAGAGAGCACATGAGAGGGGGGAGGGTCAGAGGGAGAAGCAGACTCCCCGCCGAGCAGGGAGCCCGATGCGGGACTCGATCCAGGGACTCCAGGATCATGACCTGAGCCGAAGGCAGTCGCTTAACCAACTGAGTCACCCAGGCGCCCCAAGGACATTCTTTTTAATAACCACAATGCAATGATCCAAGTCAGAAAATTTCACATGGATCAATTACTACTATCTAATGCACGGAGCTCATTCAAATTTCATCAGGTGTCTTACTCACAACCGGGATATCACCTGATTGCTCAAAGGACTGCTGCTGGCGTCCATTAATGGGAACTTGTCCTCCATCTTCCTCTTTCTCGACCTGGACTTTTTTGAAGAGTCAAGGCCAGTTGTTTGGCAGAAGGCCTCCTGATTGAAAAATGTTTGATGTCTCCTCACGATGAGATTCAGGTTGGGTAGCACGATCTCTGAATCTTCCCACCCCCACCCGCTCCTCCAGCCCCATCCCCACAAAACAACAGAAGCAAATCCAGGTACAGCAACTAGGACAGCAAAAACTCACAAATGACATCTTGCACAAACCCAGCTGACAATGGAGCCCCCACGGAGCCCTGAAATACGGGTGGGGGCGGAGCCAGTCCCAGTATAGCGGTATAGGAAGGAAAGGAAACTAGCAAGCCTGGAAGTTTCCCCCCAGCTCCCACCCCTAGAGGAGAGGTTGCCTTCATAGCTGAGGACTTGGTGAGAGCAGTTAGAACAGCCACACTCAAATAGTGTGTGTGTGTGAGTGTGTGAGAGTGTGTGAGTGTGTGTGTGTGTGCGCGCCCTGGCTCACAGCTCCAATTAGTATAGTAGGTGGTGTCCAGATGATGGGAAGGTTGGAAGATGCTGGGGTGGGGGTCTGGGTCCCCTGAGATCTCACAGTTCCTCAGCAGAATCTCTCTCTTTTTTAAGTAGGCTCCACACCCAGCATGGAGACGACCTGGGGCTTGAACTCACAACCCTGAGATCAAGACCTGAGCTAACATGAAGAGTCCGCCGCTTGGGCCTCCTGGGTGGCTCAGTCAGTTAGGTGTCTGCCTTAGGCTCAGGTCATGATCCCAGGGTGCTGGGACTGAGCATTGGGCTCCCAGCTCAGCAGGGAGCCTGCTTCTCCCTTTGCCTCTCCCCCTGCTTGTGCTCTCTCTCTCTCTCTTTCTCGTGCTCTCTCTCAAATAAACAAACAAACGAACAAATAAATAAATAAATAAACAAATAAATGAATAAATCTTAGAGGAAAAAAAAAAGAGTCTGCCGCTTAACGGACTGAGCCACTCAGGCCCCCTCAAGAATCTCTCATTTGGGAGGACAAAGCTCCGTGCTTTAAAAAAATGTTATTGAAATATAGTTGACATATAACACTGTATAAATTCAAGGTGCGAGGGGCGCCTGGGTGGCTCAGTGGTTAAGCGTCTGCCTTCGGCTCGGGTCATGATCCCAGGGTCCTGGGATCGAGCCCCGCATCCGGCTCCCTGCTCTGCGGAGGCCTGCTTCTCCCTCTCCCACTCCCCCTGCTTGTGTTTCCTCTCTAGCTGTCTCTCTGTGTCAAATAAATAAATCTTTAAAAGAAAGAAAGAAAGAAAGAAAGAAAGAAAGAAAGAAAGAAAGAAAGAAAGAAAGAAAGAAAGAAATTCAAGGCGCATGGCATGTTCATTTGGTACATTTACATACTGTAATATGATTGCCATTATAGCAATAATGAGCACCTCTATCGGGTTACATAATTATCCTTTCTTTTTAGTGGTTGGACTAAGCTCTATTCTTGTGAAAATTAATGGAAGGAGAACCCAGATTTATTTTGGCCGGAACTCCGGGAGAAAAGGTTCAGATACTGGTGGGGGAGGAAACAGATCTGTCTACACAATTTTGGAGAGTTTGATATACTGAGAGGTTATATATATGTATTTTTTCCTTTTTTAAAGATTTTATTTTTAAGTAATCTCTACACCCAACGTGGGGCTCGAACCTACAACCCTGAGATCAAGAGTCACATGCTCTTCCTACTGAGCCAGCCAGGTGCCCCAATAAGAGGTTTTATTTTATTTATTTATTTTAAAGATTTATTTATTTGGGAGAGAGAGTGTGAGCGAGCGAGAGAGAGCGCATGAGCAGGGACAGAGGGAGAGGGAGAAGCAAACTCCCCACTGAGCAGGAAGCTGGACTCAGGGCTCAATCCCAGGACCCCAGGACTACAACCTGAGCCAATGGCAGACACTTAACTGACTGAGCCGCCCAGGCGCCCCAAGAGAGGTTATATTTTTAAATACCATCTGGAAAGAGCAAAGAGTAAACTTTAAGAACTCTGAGCCCAGGAGAGCTTTCCTGGCCCACACCCCTCCTAAATATACTTATACGTGAGCGAGACCAGATGAGAGTAGGAAACTGCCAGGGTACATACTGAGTTCAATAGCATCCCCTGGAAATTCATGTTCTCCTGAAACCCGTGAATGTGGCCTTATTTGGAAATAGGGTCTTTGTAGATGTAATTAAATTAAGATGAGGTCATCCTGGATTAGACTAGGTCCTAAATCTGATATGACTGGTGTCCTTGCAAGAGGGCAATTTAGACACAGACACACACGGACACTTGGGGAAAAGGCCATATAAAGATGGAGATGGAGATTTGGAGTGACATGTCTATAAGCCAAGTGATGCCAAGGATTGCCGGTGACCATCAGAAGCTGGGAAGAAGCAAAGAAGTCTCCTCCCTGAGAACCTTTGGAGAGAGCCTGGCCCTGCCAACACCTTGATTTCAGACTTTTTTGCCCCAGAACCATGAGAGAGCAAATTTCTGTTGTTTTAGGTCACTCAGTTTGTGGTACTTTGTTATGGCAAGCCCCGGGGGGAAAATAATAGGCTCCCTGTTCCACCCTCCTGCCAGTTGGGGGGTAATCACTAAGCTGATTTCTGTGTCTAGGAGTTTGCCTAGTCCCCAGAATTTTTTGATTCAAGAGGTCCGGGGTCGGGAATGTGCATTTCTAGCAAGTTCCCTTCCCAGACTGGCCCCCCAGGTCACTGCCAATTTCAAGGGCGAGATGCCGCTGTTCTTTGGGTGTGCTTCGTGGCTCTTCACTGACCACACTTTGCACCTCACCCTGTGGAAGCTGCCAGAATGGAGTCTAGAAGCAGTGAGAGGTGATGGGGCAGATCTCGAGGGAGATCTTTCCTGAGGCAGGCAGACTCTTCTGACAAAGAACCTACGTCTCCAGTGAAGCTCCCCGCCAGGAATGAAAACTCTCTTTCCGGTGACTTTTTTGGCATCTCGGCTTCTGCTTCCAGTGACAACGCTGTCCCCCACCTGAGCCAGCCTCGTGCCATCTGAGTGGAAAACCGCCCATCCACGAGATGCAGACTTTCATCTCCTCTGGGCCTTGAATCCCTCCCATGAGCAGCTGGGACCTGCACTGATATCCCCGCCCTTCCACTGAGATGTTCCTCTCATTTGAACGTGGGGATTAAAAATGAAGGGTCCAAGACCACAACTCCCGAGAGGCTGCAGTAGTGGGTCAGACGCCGGGACCCAGAGGGCGCTGACCACAACCCCGGGCAGGTGTTGTATCTCCGTCCTCCCGTCTTTCCTAACCGGGAAATAACCCGAGGAGCAATGTGGAAATCTAGGTGGTGGGAAGGGAGGGAGAACGGGCAACTCACTCACTGGGACTGGAGTCTGTGACAGTGGATATACTCCTGGATGGATGCATTTAGATCCTTAAGTGCTCCTCCTGAGAATCAGGACTCCCACCCTCCAGTCCTTCCCTCAGACCAGGGTTCCACGTTCCTCTTCCCCTGTTCTCCTGGGACCCAGGTGTCCAGACGTCCAGCTCTCTGATCTCTCAGGACCCAAGTGTCCCATCTAACACCAATTAAACCCCTAGGATCCAGGGCGCCTGGGTGGCTCAGTCATTAAGCATCTGCTTTCCGCTCAGGTCATGATCCCAGGGTCCTGGGATCGAGCCCCGCATCCGGCTCCCTGCTCAGCGGGAGGCCTTCTTCTCCCTCTCCCACTCCCCCTGCTTGTGTTCCCTCTCTTGCTGTGTCTCTCTCTGTCAAATAAATAAATAAAATCTTTAAAAAAAAAAACCCAAAACCCTAGGATCCAAGAGTCCTTGCCCTGGCCCTGAGGACCCAGATGTCATCCAACTCCTCGTGCTAAGTGGACCCAGAAAACTATATCTCCCATGAGGCTGTAGGTCTGTGGTGTCATTGTTTAAATGTTCCCGTTATTGAGGGACCTCAGAAAAATAGTTCCACAACACAAGCACGAAGTTGGGGGTGGGTGGGGGAAGCGGGGAGGTTAACAAGCCTTCTCCTGTCAAAGGGCAGGGATAGTCCAGAGTCCCTGGGGACACCTAAGCAGAGCAGAAAACTGAGGCCCAGAGGGCGACTGGGACCTTCCCACAGCCTCCTGACAATGGGCGCAAGGGTTCTTGGGGTCGATGGGAGACAAGGCAGCCGGATCCCATATCCTCCCTCAAACACACAGGCTCACCCGGGTCCTCCTCTCAGATTCTTTATTATCCCGAGTAAGAAAAATAAAAAAATAAATAAGATAAATAACCCAATAAATAGAGGAGACCCCATAATAAACAGCCCGTGGCTTCAGGAAGTGTAGCTGGGACTTCGGCCCTGCAAAGGCCTCACCATGCTCAGGGGGTCCGAAGAGCCCACGTCGGGAGGCTCAGGGGCTGGGATCCCTGGAGGCTCCGGGGGGGCCGGAAGCAGGCCGGGCAGGGGCAGGAAGCGGGCAGGTCCCTGGGGCGCCAGGTCCCGGTATGGGGAGTTGTGGGGGGGCAGGCGAAGTGGGAGGCCGAGTGTCTCGGAGTGGTAGATGTTGTACCCATCCTCGAGCAGCAGTTCCCGGAAGCTGCAGGCTATGGGGTCGAAGTGGAGCTGAGGGGACGAGAAGACAGATCAGAGATATAGGATTCCTTCACACCTTCCTGCTGCAGGACCCAGGCGTCCGGGCCCCTGGCGCCCTCCTCCCTCAGACCCAGACGTCCGGGCCCCCAGCTCTCTCTTCTTTCAGACCACGGAGTGCTCTCTTCCAACAGGATACAGGAGTACAGACACTCCTAGGGAGCTGGGGGAGCCCCTCCTCCCTCAGATCCAGAGTCCAGGTCCCCAGCCCCCTCCCCCGGGACAAGAACAAGAGCAGCAGGCTCCTCCTTCACCCCTGAGCAGTCCTGCAAGGCCCACCTCCCCGTCCCCACTTCACAGACAGGAATATTCCAGTCGAGGCTCTCTGAGTCCAGACAAGGGCGTCTGGCTTCCCCCCAGGGGTCACGGTCACTTTATAGGCCATAGGTCCTCAGAGCGACCCTGCGCCCAGCAGGAACGGGACATGTAGGAGCCCAGGCCGCCACCAGGGGTCCCGAGTCACAAGACTCAGCCTCTCAGGCCACTCTGTCATTCACAGGCCTCGTGACTGGCAGCTGGTGTGTCCCTGCGTAAGTCTCAGTTTCCTCTTCTTATAAACATTGATAAGGTCAGCTCCCACATGCACTTGGGGTGCTGGCGTGGAGCAGGCCCGTGGAGAGCACAGGACCAGTCCTGGCCCAGGCCGCAGGTGCCAGACGTGGTACCCCAGATGGACAAAGAGGACGTGAGGAAAGGGGGACCACAAGGAGGGGGACCCCGGAAACTCACCGATCCATACAGTGTCCCATCCGGGCCCTGGCACAGGAACCTGGATGTTTTCACACCCAAGATTTGAATGACCCCCGGCTTCAGGGCTTTCAACTCCAAGACACCTGAGGGGAGAAAGTGGTCAGGACCCAGAGGGCCTCTGCCCAGGCCCCTCTCTCTTAGGCCCGGGAGTCCAGGCCCCCAGGCCCTCCTCCCTCAGACCCAGGACTGCAGGGCCTCAGCCCTCTCCGTCCTCAGACCCAGGGGTCCAGGCCTCCGGCCCCTCCTCCCTCAGACCAGGCCCTGGTCTACACACTCACTTTCGGGGCTCCGGCGGGCAGCCCCCACCACTGTGCCATCAGCCCTGATCTCTAGGTAGGCCTCTGTCTCCTGGGCATCGTCCGTGTAGAGGTACCGCTGTCGAACTTGGCCTCCAAACTGGAGGAGGGGGCTGGAGTCAGGGATAGGGTGTGCCCGGCAGGCTTCCAGCAAAAGGACAGCCAGCACAGGGACCCACAGCCCCAGGTGCTCAGACCTGGCCTCCTCCCAGCCCATCACTGGCTCACGTCCTCAGGCGAGATCTGGGGTCTGAGATTTGATGAGCGGAATAGTGTAGATTCTGTTTCAGAGCCTGGCTGTCTGGGAGAGCAGATCCACGGATCGCAGCTTGAACGCCTGGGTCCTCTCACACGTGGATTCCCAGCTGAACCGAATACCCAGGTCTCTTAGAATGGATGCAGGGACTCCAAAATTTATATCCAGACAGACCTGCCCAATCACCTTCCCCCACACCTGACCCATGATATTTGACCCACTTGGCAGGAGCTAGGATTCCACCGTGGCCAGATCAGGCTGAACGGATGATGCAATCAGGGGGTCCTTCCAGATGGGGGCCTGGACTCCCGAGTCTGAGGAATCAGGGGGATAGGGGTCTGATGAACTGGGACCTGGGTGACAAGGGCTGGGGGCCAAGACCCCTGGAGTCTGAGGGAGGGGAGGGCTGACGGGGGGGGCCTGGAAATCTGCCTCCCTGGCTGACGGGGACGCAGACTGCGTCCCATGACCGGAATTTCTGCATGCCACCTGAATTTCTAGGTTTCTGGGGTCAAATGCTGACGTTCCTTGATCATCAGGAAGGCAGTGAATGCCACATGACCAAAGCGTCCTCTGCTGGGACAGAGGCGTCCTGACCTCAACCTCACCAATCCCAGCCCAGACGCTCCTCCTGCACCAAACGTCCGGCCTCTCTCTCCTCCCTGATGCAATCCTGGTGTTTCTTTCACCAGAGAAGCTACCTCCAGGCCCAGAAAAGTGCTCTCAAAATAGCGTGGGGCAGGGGGGAGGGTGAGAGTCTCTGACTCAGCGTTGGTAGCCAAGCCAGGCTCTGGAGGGGGAATGAGAGGCAAGAGCCCAAAGGGAATGAGGGGGTGGACAGTTTCCTGGAAACTAAAGGTACAGAGGCTGGCCACCTGGGGCCGAGGGAGGAGGGCGCTGGAGACCTGAACTTCTCTGTCTGAGGAGGGGGCTGGGGTTGGAAGTCCCGCGTCTGAGGAAGGGGAGGCCTGGGGGCCGGACTCCTGGGTCGGGAGACATTTAGGGTCAAATCTCTGGAGAGTGACATCAAGTTCCTGGGTTTGATTTATTGAATGCCCACGGTCACCCTGCTCCGGCCAGGGTGGGGGTGGGGGTGGGTAGGGCCACCTTGACCATGGGAACAGCTTCAGATGTGCTGCAGAGGGAAGCCTTGGACCCCAACCAGGAGGCTGGGAAGATAAACTGGCTTCCACGCCCGCTTGCTCCTTCCTGTGCTCTGGGAGAGAGCCTGCCTCCGGCAGGTGCCCTTCTAGAAAGGAGATGCCCTTCTAGAAAAGAGCTGTCAGGCGCCAGATCCTCCACTCCGTCTGCAGGAGAGGCTGGGGGCCGCGCCTCTGGAATTTGCAGGTGCACGGCGCCGACCTGGGGGATCAGCGGCCCCTGCTGTGCGCGGGGACACCTACGGCCGGAGGCTCCCACGTCTGGGACCCTGAGAGCTGGAGGAGGTTTTCCATCCGCTCCAGGAGCAGCCTGGAGAACAGGTTCTTCACCCCCACCGGCAGGACGAGGCAGAGGGCGGAGGATCTTCCTCCCCGCGCGGGCCTGCTGTCCGGGTCCTCCCTAGCGGCCGGGGAGTGGCCGGGCTCCGACCATCCAGGTACCCGGGGCAGACCGTGAGCCCGGGCGCCGGAGAAGGGGGAGAAGTCGATGGACCCGAGCACCTGGGTCGAGCATTGCGTCTGGGCGCTAGCAGTCCATGTCCACGAAGGATACCGCTGCTGGAGGCCAGGTAGGCCGGCCCTGGAGAGCCCTGTGGCTGGCCGAGGCCGAGGCCGAGGAGGAGGGGGCTGGGCGCAGGGTCCCGGGTCTGGGGAGGGCAGGGGGCGGGGCTAGCACCCTAGCCTGGGGCGTCAGGACGGGGGCGGGGCTCCGCCTCGGACCTACCTGCTTCGCCCGGGAGGGGCGGAGGCTGCGAGCCTCGGAACCTCGCCCATCTCCTTTCTCTCTTCCCCGAGCCCTTGGCGCCAGTCGGGGGAAGCGGCATGGAGGGGACGTCTGCTGAACCCTGGGACCTGGAGTTCGGGGTTCCGGGGGCGGGCGGATGTGGGCTGCACTTGAGGACGGCGCGCCCCAGCCCCGCCAAGCCGACTGCGGACCTGCCATCCGCCAGGAGCTCTGGTGAGTGGGACTAGCGGATGCCTGGGACCCAGGAACTGCACCCCCAACCTCTCGCCCCTTAGGACCCCGGGAGTCTCCACCCCACCCGCAACTCCTGCTCCTCCAGGAACCAAGATCCCTCATCCATTCCCAGCCTCCCCTGTTCTGCTTGGCCTGTCACCTCCATGGTGGAGGCTGCCCATCTCCTCCCCACCCCACCCCCACCACCCAGGTACACCTGAGAAGGGAGTTGGTGGAACATTGCCCAGCTTCAGTGGGCCTTCGGGGCCTGGGGAGCCAGATTCCAAGATGTGGCGATGAGATGCTGGATCCTAGACCCTATCTTGGAAAGCACCATTTCCCATCCCCATCCCTGGAAATTCCAAGCTCCTCGCTTCTCCTCCCTCAGATCCAGGACCCTGATTCCCCTTCCCTCGGACCCAGGAGTCTGAATCCTTAGTACCCTCCTCCTGCCCGTCCTCTGCTCCCTGACATTCGTCCTGGGGCTCTGAGCACCTGCTAATTCGCCTTTCCTCCTGTGCAGCCACGTGGGCCCCCAGCCGACGGCAGCTCTGTCTGACCTTCCTGCTAGTCTGTGTTCTTTCAGCCGTCTTCTTCCTCCACATCCACCAAGACCTGTTTCACAGTGGCCTAGACCTCACTGCCCTGTGTCCAGACCGCCACCTCCTGACACCCCCCGTGGCCATCTTCTGCCTGTCGGGCTCACCGACGGCCCCCAACACCTCCTTTCCCTGTCTCAAGCCCCCTGCCTCCCTCTCAGGAATCTGGACTATCTACCCAGACGGCCGCTTCGGCAACCAGATGGGGCAGTATGCCACGCTGCTGGCCCTGGCCCAGCTCAACGGTCGCCAGGCGTTCATCCTGCCCGCCATGCATGCCGCCCTCGCCCCCGTGTTCCGCATCACCCTGCCCGTGCTGGCCCCCGAGGTGGAGGGCCACACGCCATGGCGGGAGCTGCAGCTGCATGACTGGATGTCGGAGGACTATGCCCACTTGGAGGATGCCTTTCTGAAGCTCACGGGCTTCCCCTGCTCCTGGACCTTCTTCCACCATCTCCGTGCCCAGATCCGCCGCGAGTTCACCTTGCACGAACACCTGCGGCAGGAGGCCCAGGGTCTACTGAGCCAGCTCCGCTTGGGCCGCACGGGGGACCGTCCTCGCACCTTTGTGGGTGTCCACGTGCGCCGGGGGGACTACCTGCAAGTCATGCCCCATCGCTGGAAGGGTGTGGTGGGCGATCGCGCTTACCTCCAGCAGGCTATGGACTGGTTCCGGGCCCGGCACGAAGCCCCCATCTTTGTGGTCGTCAGCAACGGCATGGCCTGGTGTCGGGAGAACATTGACGCCTCCCGGGGGGATGTGATCTTTGCTGGTGACGGGCAGGAGGGCTCGCCAGGGAAGGACTTTGCGCTGCTCACGCAGTGCAACCACACCATCATGACCATTGGGACCTTTGGTTTCTGGGCTGCCTACCTGGCCGGTGGAGACACTGTCTACCTGGCCAACTTCACCCTGCCGAACTCCAACTTCCTTAAGATCTTTAAGCCCGAGGCCGCCTTCCTGCCCGAGTGGGTGGGTATTAATGCGGACTTGTCTGCACTCCAGTCGCTGGCAGGGCCTTGAGCAGCAGGGAGACTTTCTGGAATTGCTGATCAGTCTTGGGCCAGCATTTATGCATCTCCAGAGGCCTGGCAGCTTGGAGAGAAAAGAGGGCTTTCTGTAGCTGTCTGGACATTCTAGAACCAGCAGAAGATCTTTTCCTGTTGGTTAGCAATGCCTAGAGAGGCTCATGTCAGTTCTAGAAGGCAATGCCTACCTGCTCTTCCCAGCCCATATCTGGAGTACTTCTAGATGGCTGCACCCCAAGTACAGGCAAGTCCCCCTTCTAATGTTGCCCCTGGTCTTTTCTAGAAGAGAGGTTCATCTCCAGGACTGAAGGAATCTGTGGGTATTCTAGAGCAAGCACTCACCAACTCCCCTTCTGTGTTTCATGCAGCCATTCTAGAGAGGGTCAATTCTAGTGCCTGTGAAGAATCCTGCAGGGCTCTTCCAGAGGGGATGGAGTTCTGGAATTCCAGGAGAATCTCAGGAAGGTACAATCCGAAGCTCAACGCCTCAACCACTGCCAGAAAGATTGGTGGAAGACAAACTGTCTATAGCTGCAAGCAGACCCGAAATCTGTCCAACCTCTCAGCCCCGGAAAAAAAAAAGACCAAGACTCTTTTTTGAGCAGATAGGCGAAAACATGGGAGGTGGGGGAGGGGGACGGCTGCTGAATTGCAGCAGCTTCTGGAGCAAAGTTTTCCAGAAATGTAGGAACACTTTTTTTTTTAAGCTCAAAAACTGCCAAAGACAAGCACCCCACAAGGTGGCTCTGAGTTAGGTCGCCTCTCCCAATTACAGACGTTTCCTCCTTTGCTGCAGGGCTTGGGGGTGGGCGGGTGATGATGGAATCGATTTTCTGGAATTCAGCTGGCATGAATGTTTCCTTTGGGCTTATAGAAAGCAGCTGGCCTTGTGTCCCTTGCCAACCCCTGTCTGCCCCCGATTTCACAGAACCTGGCTTCGGGTTTGAAAGAGTCTGAGGGTATTCAGACTCCAGACTGTCCTCAAACCCAGGCAGGAAGGAGCACAGGGTTTGGCCAAGGAGGATGGGATTCTGGACTCAGATTTCAGGAACCCCTTGAGGCTTTTTGAAGGGGGTTGAAGGTGGCTAGCTATCTTTATTGCAGACAACTCTGATCGCATCTCCTGTTTACCCAGAAGAATGCAGACCCCTTTTTTAGTCTTCTCAGGGAGTTTTGAGGGATCATTCCCTATTCAGCTGCTCCAGGTGGGGAAGAGGGAGGTATGAATTAAAAGTCCACATCGCCAACTCCTGTGTCTGCAGGTTTTTTGGAGTCGTGTGTGTGTGTGTGCGTGTGTGTGTGTAGGAGGAAAGGTTCGGAACTGCCAGGGACTCATTATTCATGTCTAGGGATATTGTCCTGCACAGATCTGGTAGCCTCTTGTTCTCAGAGTTGGGTGAGTAGTGCTGCCTGTTTTTCTGGTGGCCTGTTTCAATGATGCAGAAGAGGAGAGACCTTCCAGGACCTGTAGAGCCCCAGTTTCTCACTATTGGCTCTAGGCCTCTTTCTTCTGGAACCTTGGCATCAAGCCCCTTGGGCTAGGGAGAGAAGGTGGAGGAGGGAGTGAGCAAAGTGTGTAACTCTGGAACTACATTTCCCATATAGCCATCTGGCTGGCCAGGGAGAGGCCCAGGGCCTCCTGGGAGTCGTAGTCCTAGGGCTAGAAAGGGCCACTTCCCTCATCTTCGTGGCTCGACTCCCCAAGTTTCCAAAAGGCCACGTGCACCTAGCCGGAAGCCTGGATCCGGGGACGGGAGGAAGCTGAAGCCCAGAAGCCCTTTCCTTGGCTTTAGAAGTCGGAAGGGACAAGATAACTTTCCTCTCGGTAGACGCTGGGAAAATTCTAGTCTGAAAGGACGCCCACCTCTTGTGATATCATGGAACGATAGGCGGAGTCTCCCTTTGTTGCGGTCCTATCAGACTCAGCGTTGGGCTTGTGGGCGGGGCCGAGAAAACTCCCAGGGAGTATCTTTTGGGGAGTTGGGGCCCCACGTGGGAAGCTAGAAGGGGGAAGCTGTGGGAATTCCTCCTAGACCGGGGCGAACGGTGACTGCGACTCCAGTCAGAAAGCTCTCCATATCACGCGACCGACCTCACCCTCACCCCCAACAAAACCCTTAATTTTAGTCATGGGAAAATAGCAGAGTGAAGGACGTGGCCTGCTCCTCCTCTCTAAAAGCCCTCAGCCTGGATTCGGCTCTTCAGCGGACCCTAGTGTTTGAGGGTACAACATTCAAGGTCAAGGTCGGGCAGCGGCTGTTGAGGGCGCATCGGGTCTCCGTCACCTCGGTTTCCTAACCGAGAAGTGTGCGCCCTGCAAATTGGGGGGCTTAGTCTCGGGGAAGGGTTTCTCTCCACTTAGCGTGAACGTTTGGGGCGAAAGGACCCTTCCCCTTCCCCCTCCCCCTCCCCCTGCGCGGACTGAGCGCTCTGGCCGCAATGGGTCCGCAACTTCCCCTCCTGGTGGCGGCGCTGGCCGGCTGCCTGCTTCCTGCCCGGGGCTGTATCCTATGTGCAGCAAAGGTCGTGGAGGCGCTAAAATCCTTGGAGACGGATTACCTGCCCGGCCGCCTGGCGGCCGATCGTCACCGAAGCTTTATGCAAAGGGTAAAACAAGCCGTGATGGATTTCAAGGACCTGCCAATTGAAGAGGATTCCTATATGGGGGTTATCGGTGAGGGCAGGGAAGAGTGTGGAAATCCTGAGTCCTGGGAAAGGAGGGGTCTGTGGCTAGGATTGCTGGGGGCGGAGGCAGGGAGGGCAGGGATGGAGGCAGAGTTTACTGGGTTCGGGAATGTAGAAGGCTGGAATGCAGATTCTGGGCCTTACCCAAGGCTAGTAAATACTGTGTTCCCCATCGCTTAGCCTGCAAGTTTGTGTAAAAAAAAAAAAAAACAAAAAAACCCCAAAACAACTACAACTCCCAGAAGGCAAGGGCGGACAATCCCTTTACCAGGCCTATCCTTGCCCAGTAGCCTCATGGGTATTGTAGTTTCTAAGAATAGGCGAGCCAATGAGGCGGTGAGGCTTGGAATCTGGAGTTCTATCTCTCCCTCCCTGCATCCCCACCTCCCACCCCTCCAGATAAGCCCACACTGGAAAAGGCATCCTGGAGTTTTCTGAAGGATTTGAGACGTATCACAGACAGTAATGTAAAAGGTAAATGCACAGAGGGGCCAGCGGAGGGGCTCCAGAATCTTCCGGAGAAGTGATAGTTGGTGACAACTGGTCTGGTAGTGGCTCTGGAGCCAAACTGCCTAGGTTCAGATTCCGGCTCTGTCATCTCCTAACCGTGTGGCCTTGAGTGAGGGATTTCGCAGCTTTGTCGCTTCTAAAATGAAGATCCAAACAGTCCCAGCTGTCCCTTAGCTCAGTGGCCAGCATTATGTTAAGTGGTCAATTTCATTGTCCCTCCCGGAGAAGACCCCAAAGTGGAATGTCAGGCTCTTCCGACAGAAGCAGACTTCCTGTACCTCACTCCTGGGATGAGTGAGGGAGAGGGGAAGCACTGTGTGTCACCCTGCTCCTCCCCAGGTGAACTTTTCGTGAAGGAGATGTACTGGATGTTGCACCTGCAAAAGGATATGTTTGCCCGCTTTGCAGCTCAGTTCCAAAAAGAGGGTGAGGGAAGATGGGAGTCCGTCAGGGACCACAGCCCCTTTCTTCAACAGTCCCAGAGTCCCTCACCCCAGCCCCCTGCTTCTCCAGGTCCAGCCCCTCAGCTCTCCCAGCTCCGCCCTCCCTTGGACCCAGGGATCCAGGCACCTGGGTTCTTCCTCCCTCAAACCCAAGAGCCCAAACCCCAACCTATTCCCTTGCCCTCTCTCATCTCCTTTAACTTAGAAATATGATAATCATTTTTTTTCTTTCTTTCTTCTGACGCAGCTTTTTGTCCCAACAAATGTGGTGAGTGCGGATTATGGGAGCTGGTCCTCTATCCCTCATGGTCGCCCCGTTAATACCCAGCCGTTCTCCTCCCCCTTTGGGTCTCGATGTTTCTTCATTCTCCACGTCTGAGAGGTTCCACATTCCTTCTGCACTGCGCACTTACTGGGGAGCGCATCATATTCTATTTGCACTCTTTACCGAGCCTGGTTCCATCCCTCTTCCTGCGGGGCTGCCTTCTACCCCCGTCCCTTGGGCTGACCTCCTAGGGATTGGGCCCCTGACCCCGCCCCAGCCCTTGACCCTGCCCTCCCCTTTTAGCCTCGCCTCTCAGGGCGAATACAGCGTTGATCCTGCCCCTTCAGGTATGATGTTGCAGAGTCTGATCTGGTGCAATACCTGCCAGAAGCAGGTTCACACTTGTCGAAAGAGCCCTGATTGCGGGGGTGAGAGAGCTGGGGCCAGCAGGAGGGGGGTCGGCGCGAAAGGGGGGGAGCCAGGGGAGAGACTGAATCTAGAGGGGGCGGAGCCTGGAGCCGGCAGGCGAGAAAAGGCAGGACCGAGACCAAGTGGGAGGGAGTTGAGGAAGGGCCCGAACTTCACCGTAATCCCCTCTCCCCAGTGCGCCTAGTCATAGTCCATGAAATGGAAGACTTGATCCTGAACTGTGAGCTCAACTGGCATCGACTCTCTCAAGGCCTGACCGATTACAGCTTTTTCAGGGTGGGGCCCTCTAAGTCCTGTAACCCTTGAACCCCAAGTCCATCAGGCTTGTGTGAGCCCCCTGATCCCTGTATCCACAGGTTTGCACCCACAATCCCTATGACCCATGACCTACCAGGTTTGGCTTCTACTGATCCCCGGGGACCCCATGTCTTGACCAGTACACCCTGGACTCCCGTGTCCCCCACCATGAGGCCCGTGATGATCTCACCCCTGTACAACCCCAAACCCTGAATTCCCCAGGCCTCTGTGACCCCTTGAGCTTGGGTCTAGGTTTGGGGGAAAGATTCTGAGACCTTGCTGTCCAAGGGGAAAAATTCCACCCTGATCAAGACCGCGGTGACTGCAGAGGATGCAGGGGTCTACCGCTGCAGTTTGGACAGCGTGCGATCCATCCCAGCCACGATCATCTTTTATCAAGTCAAAGGTTAGTGCTGGGGACTTGACAGTAATGTGGGACTCAGGGTCCTGGGGGTGGAAGCAGTCAGCTCCAGGGGCGTGGTCTGCGGGGCTTAACTTTCTGTTGGGGTGTGGTTTCAGGCCACGAGGGTGTGGCTTCGTGCCCTGGGTGTGGCCCTCCCGCCACAGTGGCAGGGCTTCACGCACTTAGGGGCGCGATTCTCTCCTCGGGGCGGGCTGGAGTAGAGCGGGCTTGCCTTGGCCAGTGCGGGACCTTCATGCCCTCCCAGGACTGCTCCTTCCCTCTCTTCTATCAGTGTTGCCCGGAAGGATCTCTGAAGAGCTACCGTCAAACGTCAGCCAGGGTGGGCAGGCCCCAGGTCAGGGGGATTTAACCATCCAGCCGACGCCGACGCAGTGTCCGAAGTCTGAGAACTTGCTGAGAGGCCGTCTGATAGGACTGCTGATCTGGGGCTTTGTGGTGCTGATAATCGGCTTTACGACCGCGTGAGCCGCCCACTGAAGAAGGCAGGGCTTGGAGCAAGGGGCGGGATTTCCAACTTCCTAACGCAGGAGGGGGTCTGGGAGCTAGGGAAATACTGAGAGCTGTACTTCCGTTGGGGATGGGGCTTAGAAAATAGGGTGGGCCTTACCTAGGTGGACTAAGCTTGGGTCACTGCTAGAATTAGATAAAATATAGGGAGGCTGGGAGGGGTGTCCCTCACTCAGTTAGGACCTAATCGGGTTCCCCTATTTGCACCCCACCCTCCCCCCAGGATACTTTGCTTTCGACCTGAGAAGGTGATCAATTCCATCAAGTCCTGTTTCGACACCAAGAAGGAGCCTGCCAAGCAGCCCCAGGTTCCAGAGGAAAAAGCCACACCATCAAGGCCGAAATAAAGATTTATCTGGTTGTCTAAATAAATATCTGACTCATTCCTCTGCTCTGATCCTAATTTTTGGTTTCCCCAGAGGAGAGGTCTGGCAGGAGGGGCCGGGAAGCTGGCTCCGAAGTCCTGGAAGGGCCCAACCGGCTGAGATATAATTCCAGAATCAAGGAGCGGGGAAAGGCCAGCCCTCCCCAGATCTCCTCCCCCAGGCCCAGTCCCCTCACAGGACGCCCCCTCCCCGCTCTTCCTGCCGGGTTTCCTCTCGCCTTTTCCTGTCCCCCACCCAGTGCTGGGAGCTGGGGCAGAGGCAAAGGCTGAACAGGAGCAGCGGGGTCAGGAACCAACCAGGGCCAACGGAGCCAGGGCCCCGGGGTGCTGCTGGGACCTGAAGCAGGGTAAGAACCAGGGACCCAGAAGTCCAGACCCCTCCTCCTTCAGACCCAGGAGCCAGTCCCAGCCACCTCCCATCCCAGCACCCAGGAGTCTAGGCTCCCATCCTTCTCCTCCACTCGGACTCAGAAGTCTGAGCCCCAGCCCCCTCTCTGACTGAGGAGTCCCCCTCCATCCCAACCCCGCCACTCAGGGCCTCAGGTGTTGGGGTCTTACCCACCCTTCCTTAGGGCCATGCTATCTGGTGAACGGAAGGAGGGCGGAAGCCCCCGCTTCGGGAAGCTCCATCTCCCCGTGGGCCTGTGGATCAATTCTCCCAGGAAGCAGCTGGCCAAGCTGGGGCGGCGCTGGCCCAGCGCTGCCTCTGTTAAGTGAGTGCTCACCCCCTTGAGACTCCCGCCCCTGCCCCAACTGCTTCCCATTTGTCCCTGTTTATGGCCCAGTCTCTGCGCGGGGTAATGCCAGGGGCCCCAAGGATTGGCTTCCAGTTCCTGTCCTGAATGGGCAAGTGAGCTAACAGGCAGGAGGAGACAGTGGGCCACAGTGCTCTCGGGCCCAGTGTGGGGAGTGCTGGGTCTGGAGATGGGGTTAGGCTGGATGGACACCGGGATGGGGACACGGGGGCAGGGGTTTGATTCACCTTCCTTCCTCCGCTCCCTGCTTACTTCTTGGAATTTCCTACTGGGGGACTCGCCTTTATTTATGTATTTCTCTCTCTCTCTTTGCCTCTGGCCTCTGCCCTACTCCATCTCTGTCGTCGTCCCCCCCCCCCACCGCCCCCGCATTTCTCTCCCTTCTGTGGGTCTGTCTCCCGTCCCCCTCTTTCTCTGGGCCTCCATCCCTCTCTTTCTCCTGGTTTTTGTTGCCCTTTCTCTCTGGTTCTCTGTGCCCTCTCAATGGGTCTCTGTCGCTCCCTGGGTGTCTGTCCCTGATCTCTGCCTCCCTGGGTCTCTGTCCCCTCCATCTGGGTCTTTCCCACCTCCTTCCTTCTCTACCATCGACTCCCCTCTCTTCCTGTCTTTCTGGGTCTTTCTCCCGCCTCTCCACTCCCTGGCGGGCTCCCAGGTCGTCTTCTTCGGACACGGGGAGTCGCAGTAGCGAGCCGCTGCCCCCGCCGCCGCCGCACGTGGAGTTGCGGCGAGTGGGCGCGGTCAAGGCGGCCGGGGGAGCCTCGGGGAGTCGCGCCAAGCGCATCTCCCAGCTCTTTCGGGGCTCGGGGACCGGGGCCACGGGGTCCGGCGGCGCGGGAGGCCCCGGGACTCCGGGGGGCGCCCAGCGCTGGGCCAGCGAGAAGAAGCTGCCGGAGCTGGCGGCGGGCGTGGCCCCCGAGCCCCCGCTGGTCACGCGCGCCACGGCGCCCCCGGGGGTCCTCAAGATCTTCGGCGCCGGGCTGGCGTCGGGCGCCAACTACAAGAGCGTGCTGGCCACTGCGCGCTCCACGGCACGCGAGCTGGTGGCCGAGGCGCTGGAGCGCTACGGGCTGGCGGGCAGCCCCGGCGGCAGCCCGGGCGAGAGCAGCTGCGTGGACGCCTTCGCGCTGTGCGACGCGCTGGGCCGGCCGGCGGCGGGCGGCGTGGGCAGCGGCGAGTGGCGGGCGGAGCACCTGCGCGTGCTGGGCGACTCGGAGCGGCCGCTGCTGGTGCAGGAGCTGTGGCGAGCGCGGCCCGGCTGGGCGCGGCGTTTCGAGCTGCGCGGCCGCGAGGAGGCGCGCCGCCTGGAGCAGGAGGCCTTCGGGGCGGCGGACAGCGACGGTGAGGGGGCCGGCGGGCGCGGGGGCGGGGCTTTGCGGGCGGGGGCGGGGCCCGCGGGGCGGGGCGGGGCCGGATCGGGGCGGGGCTGAAGGGACCGGTGGCGGGCTGGAGGCGGGGGCGGGGGCGCGGGGGAGATGGGGACTGGGAGGGACCTAGAGCACCGTGTCTAGTGGAGAGCGGGGCTGGGGCAGGACCCGGCTTGGCAAGACGGGCCAGGCCGGAGGTTTTTGCGGAGCCGATGGGCGGGGCCTGGGATGCTGGGGCGGGGCCTGCGGAAGAGAGTAACCCGGAGCCAGAGGTGTGGAGCGGTGCCGCTGGCCCCTGTAGCAGGAGGCCTCTCCGAGCAATAGGTTGAAGGGGTTCGTGAGGGACCGGGCCTATGTAGATTAAGCGTGTAAGGGGAAGGGACGTGGAAAGTGAAAAAATGGTCTGCCTGATCGGGGCCTAAGGATGGGCGGAGCCTCAGGGGAGCTGGTCTTGGAGCAGGTGGCCCTAGGCCTAGGTTGGCCGCAGAGTGTGAATGGGAGACTTGAGGGTGGCTCAAGGGAAATGAAGAGGAAGAGTATTTGTAGAGGCCGAGGAAGGTCGTGCTTACATGCCGGACTGGTCTTGGAGAAGGCCGGGCCTGGAGCAGGAGGTGATGCCCTTGGTGGAATAGTGCGTGTGGAGCAGGGCCTGGCAGGGATGGGGCCTGGCTCAGGGCCACGGGCCGCTCAGGGAGCTTTCGAATGCTTTTCTGTTTCTGAGTCTCCCTTTGGGAAATAGAGTGGTGTAGTAGTTAAACTCATGAGCTTTGAACTCTGGCTTGGATTCCAGTCTGTCTTTTGCCAGTTAAACTGAGCAAAACCCTAGGTGAAGGTGAAGTGAGATCATGTATAACAGGGCTTTAGCACGAGACTTGGCACATAGTAGTTGCCTAATAAAGAATGGCAATTATAACCATCGCTGTCTTCCCCCCGCAAAAAAAAGCATTCGTTGAGCACCTACTGTGGGCCACACATTATTTAGGGCCGTGGGGGAGTACAGTGAGCACATGACAGGTGAGGATCCCCCCCCCCTAGATTTTACAGCCTAGTGAGAAACCCATCAGTTCATTCCTTGGGCTCATTTCCACTAATCCCCCACTATGTACCAGGGCTCTGCTGGGTCCAGACAAAGCCCCGAGTATGGTGCAGCCGTAGATGTCCCCCCAAAAACAGTTAAAAGAATGAATTTCTGAGCTGAAGACTGCAAGGTGGGTAGTAGTCAGGCAGAAAGTATGTTCCAGGCACAGGGAACAGCATATGCAAAAACCTAAATGTGGGAAGCCGCCTCACTTCTCTGCAGTCAATTCTTTGTCTCTTTATAATCTCCAGCTCTCGGAGCCTGCCTCTCTTTCGAGTCTCTGCCTCATCCATGACTCCTTATCTCTCCGCAGGCACGGGCGCCCCCTCGTGGCGGCCACAGAAGAACCGCACCCGGGCGGCGTCCGGCGGGGCGGCGCTGGCCAGTCCCGGCCCGGGGTCGGGGTCAGGGCCCCCGGCTGGGTCCGGGGGCAAAGAGCGCTCGGAAAATCTGTCCCTGCGGCGCAGCGTGTCGGAGCTCAGCCTGCAGGGCCGGCGGCGGCGGCAGCAGGAGCGCCGGCAGCAGGCACTTAGCATGGCCCCGGGGGCAGCAGACGTCCAGATCGGACCAGCGGACCCTGGCGACTTCGATCAGTTGACCCAATGCCTCATCCAGGCCCCCAGCAACCGTCCCTACTTCCTGCTGCTCCAGGGCTACCAGGACGCCCAGGTACGCGCAGTCCGTCCTACTGGAAGAGACCTATGCTCCACCCTTCGGTGGCAGGGAGACAAAATTACAACTCCCAGAATTCCTTGGGTCGTGGTAGTCTCAGGTATGTCCCAGCAAGGTTCCAGGGTTGGAGATGTCATTGTCAGAGATGGGGGATGGAGGGTTGCGTGGGGAGGTGGTAGTGATGGAAAGTTGATGGCTGAGATCTCGCTGGAAGAACAAGTAGGGAATGGTTCATTTCATGCAAAACTGGGGGGAAAGCACTGTCTTTGTCAAGGGGGGGAAGTTGAGAGCCTATTGTACAAAAGGGATCTCCTTGTAAGGGTCTATTTCTTGATGAGGAGTAATGGAAGTGTCTATCTTGTTTGGGTAGAAGATAATTTGATGGATGCATGGGATCTTGTTCTGGGTAAGCCTGTATTTTCTTGGAAGGAGTGGACTAATCCATTCTTTAAAGGTTCTGGTTTACACTGGAGCGATCTGACTATTGTTGATGGGGGTAGGTGATACTGATAACTTCTATTTTATATATTTGGATGACTATAGAACTTGCTTGAGTGTTAGGGAGCAGAGGGGGAGAAAGGATTAGGAGTTAGGAGAAAATTATTAGTGGATTAGCAGGAAATTATTTCATTAATCGAAACATAATGAATTATTGGAAATACTAATTTTTGTGCATGTGATGATTGGGGGAATCATTTTTATGATGTTGTACAACTTTGGGTAACAGTGGTACAGCCAAGTTCAACAGGTACTTTCGGGAATCAATGGGAAAGCCCACTGGTGGAACTTAGTGAATAGTCCCATTTTCATGGTCATAGAGAGTGATCCAATTGGGTTAGGTGGCCTGACTTTGAATATGAGTGAGAGAGGAAGACTATTTAGAGAAGGGCTTGCTTGGAAGAATTTATTCCTCCTTGTCGGGGCAAGGGGATGGGGCAAGTTCATTATAGGGAGGAGTTTGCATATATTATAACAGCCCATTTCTCGAGACAAGGTTGGAGAATAGGAGGGTCTATTTTGGGAAGGTAGTCAAATTGGAAGGATCTGTTCTGGGAGTATGGTGGAGTCTGTTCTGGGAAGAGGGGGAAACATTGGAAGCATCCATTCTTTTGAGTGAGGTTCATGG